GTGATGCACAATGCAATTGCTCACCACCTGCTGATTGATACAGAGACAGTTCCCAAGCAGCGATCGCTGCTCCCCGGCCAACCCCCCCCCCAGTTTCTATACTGAGCATGACGTCACATGGTATGGAACAGCCCTTGGCCAGTTTGGATCAACTATTCTGCCTGTGCCCCCTCCCAGTTTCTTGTGCACCTGGCAGAGCATGAGAAGCTGAAAAGTCCTTGACTAGCATAAGCAGTACTTAGCAACAACTAAAACATCGGTGTGTTATCAGCATTCTTCTCCTACTAAATCCAAAACACAGCACTATGCCAGCTACTAGGAAGAAAATTAACTCTATTCCAGCCGAAACCAGGACACCTACAAATAGTTTCAGATTTTCAATAAGAAATATTTGGGAAGAAAAGGTACTCTGTAACAGAAAAATGTTGTCATTTGAAAATGGAGATAGTCCTTGAAGGATAAGTAGAAGATTGAACAAGTACACTGGTTGTAATCAGGACTGTTTGGTTTGGGATCTACATATAAACAGGAATTTGCTGTTACTGGCTGCCCCCTTGTATACAAGCTTAAGATGTGGGAATTCCTCTTAAACCTAGACTTCTCAAATAAGAAACTCTTCTGATTTGGGGGTGAGAGAGTACTTCTTAATCTGAACATATTTCAGGTAGACTTAACAATTCAATGAGTACCATTGCAATTAAGATGCTACTAATTGCTTGCAAACATACAGATGATATTTCTGTTGTTTTCAAAGCAACTGGTAGATGGATCCAGCAGGAAATCTATGTTTTATTCTGAAGCAAATTGCCTCGTATCTTCAGCAGAGATGTTTTATGTTAGCTTGGGTTAGAACATTTTGAAGGAGTCGTCAAACAATAATACTTCTAAGGTTTCAGGCTTGTGTTATCTAGCTGTTGCATCTCATCTTTCCTGGCCCCAACTTTGAGCGTGTAACCTTACTTTTCTAAAGGAATAAAAAAACCAGTGTTTGGGCTGCCAATAAGCAAAGTTTAATTTAACTATAATGTGTTACTGCTAGACCTGTTAATGTTTAATATATGGAGCAAAGTTAGGCTTCAGGCCATGGGGAAAGTGGAAAATATTCTCTTCTACATGTGGTAAATATATCTCTCATAACTGGCCTTTGGCAGCTAGCCAGGAGTCAAGTCGGACATCTGCAAAAGTTCATCTTGTATCCCACCAGTAGGTCTCAATTTGTCCTTAAGTTTACTTAGAAACAAGGCTTGCAAAACCTTGGAATTTCATATGCTGTTACTAGATGCTTCTCTTGGTTCAGACTTACTCTTACTTGCAGACAGGTTCTTTTAAAAGTGCTTCAGCCATTCCAGTCCATTAATTACTATCGTTTTCGTAAGTCAGACTCATTTAAAAGAACACTCCACTGCTTGAAGAACATAATTTTAATTCAGTGATTGCTTGATCATATAATCAGCGGACTTTCAAGGTAGGAATAAATTTGACCTAAGCAGCAGCTAGTTCCTCTCTGAAGAGGAAATAAGTTAATTTTTTTTTTCTTTTTTAGAAGGGAAGAAATGAATGTTTGCATTTGTTTGTCCACAGAGAAAAAGAAACAGTTTGAAATGAAGAGAAAGATGCACTACAATGAAGGACGAAACATCAAACTGGCAAGACAGCTCATTGCAAAAGAACTACATGGTGAAGAAGAGGATGATGATGAGGATGAAGAAATGCGTGATGCTGCAGATGTAGAAACAATGAATACAGAAGCTACTGAACATGGTGAGCTACTGATTCACCAAAAAGCTTGTTTAAGTACTGGTGGTCCTTTCAGCTGTTGGGAAATGAATACAGTCAAGTGTGAGAATGAATAGAAAGGGTACAGTATGTATGTAACGCTCAATGTGCAATACTGCATGCTGTCTTGATAGGTAGATTTGTAGCACGGTACCAAAACCATCAGTATTGCTAATTAAGTGTGTGGGCTCTTGTTTGTTGTGACATAACAGAAAAGCAAACACCTCTGCTTTGTACTATTTCCCCAGCATAACTGACTTTTGGTGGTGAAGTTTTAAAGGAAGAGTTGTCTTGTACAGAACACTTAAAAGCTGTGGCCACATGAGAGAGACTGGCCTTATGTTGTCGTTCAGTTCCCATTCTGCTCCCAAACTGTCCTGTAGCCAGCAACAGGAAACTAGCACGAATGTTTCCTCCCTGTTGAGAGGACTGTATCTAACTTCCTAAGAAAGAACTTCTGCCTCTCTTACTGTAATGTAAAACTGCTGTTAGGACTTCAGCATGCACTTGTCCTTAAGCAGTAATGTTAATTTCTATAGTATGGGAAAAGACCCTCAGTTTTGCTTTTAGTGCAGCTACTGGAAGAAAGTCTGGGACTTGTAGCTGGGAGCTGTTTCTGGAACCTGCTTCAGGGCTGTCTCTTGATAGGAAACTTATAAAACTATAGAGGCTGACACCTTCTCTTTCATCTTTAAGCTCCTCTCTGGGTGAAAAAGGTAGACTATAATAAAAGTCTTTGATTTTTGTGGTGGCCTTCTAGTGAATAATTACAGCTGTTCACTACCCACCTCTGTGTGTAACAGCACTTTGAATAATTTTATGGCACTGAAAAAATAGACATCTGTTGCTCATGAGACTAGTGGCAATAAAGTCTGTAAGCCTCATTTATCTGTTGCTTGGCAAAGCTATGAGACGTTAGCACAATCTGCAGACTTGGGAAGATGCTGCATGGGTTTAACTTGGTTCACATTTGCTTTTCACAACCATGTGAACTAGGAACTCCTCTAAAATTAGTTTAAATTCCACATGATAAAAAGGTGATTTGCAAAGTTCCGTGTTCTTAAGTTCTGTGGATTGCACATTTTAGTCCCATTATTTATTACAGGAGGACTAATGCCTTCATAATTGCTCTGAGAGGGTCATTTGATATGTCTGAGACCCATTAACGGACTGACTTTATCCAGTAACTTACCATATGCCTTATAATGGCTATTTACTAGAACTTCACTCTCCAGGGGAAAGGAGGGCTCCAATAGGCAACCTTATGACCTTTCTCCATGGCTTGAAGCTGCCATCTCTCTGCACTCTGCTGTAAAACAGAGGCAACTCCGCTCCCCAGCTGCATGCTCCAGTGGAAAGAAGGCACACCTTTGCAGCATTTTTCCATCTCTATTGTTGAAGTCCATTCCACCTTGCCTCATAACCAGCTTCAGAGCCACAACTGGTAATTATCAATTTTAGACTGCTCATGGCCAATAGATTCCATAAATATAACTGTTTGCCAGTTTATCAAACCATTCACTAACTGGTTCACCTCCACACCATGGCATATAGAAATACTTTCCATTAACTTGATGTAGTTCTCAATTCTTCATTTTTGTTTTGTATCATTCTGCTTAACAAACCTTGATGTTTCATTATCTCCTAATCTCTGCATCAACTATCATCGCTTTTGGTCTTGTACTTGATCAGTTCTTCTGAGGTTAAGTACTGGTCTCGCTTTTGTAGCAGCTGAATGCCCTCAGACTGATCATGTGTGATTCTTTGTGGCAAGGTTGGTCAAAGGATGATGGAATATGGACAAAACTGTTAATAAATCTCTCTGTCTTCTACTGCCCATGTTTTAAGAAGTTCCTACACTGAGCTGATAAATGTTCAGCAACATAGCTGTGTTAAAGTAATGTCAAAGCTTTACTGAAATCACTTTTTTGAGATTATGTCTCTTTATCACTCTCATCTATATTCTGAGGGCACAAAAGAATCTCCTTATTCATAAATGTTAATTAAACGGGTGTTAGAGCTGCAGAACATTTCTCAAATAGCTGGTTTTGACACTCGCTACTTGGGGTTTTTTTGCTAGTCTGTGCTTTTGTCATGCCATGCTTTTGGTTGTATTAAGCAATTGGGTATTTAAAATTGCTTATTTTATTGAAAGTATTTCAATTTGGTTGTTTCCTTCATGGAAGTGGACCAAAATGCTATTCATGTTCTTGTTTCTGAGATTCCCGTTTGGACCGTAAGCGTGTGGAAAGATTATTCATCTGGATAGCTTTTGAAGAGCTCCTCGACTTCCAGTTACTGTATTTTAAAGTGCTTTCTTATAGAGCAGAAAAGGAGGGTTTTCTTTACTCAGTGTATTGGGTGATGCAGGAGCTGATTTTTGTGATGGCTTATTTTGGCTTCACTCTTAAACTGACGCTTGCTTTTAACTGCAAAGGAAATGTCTGTCTTTTCCTGCATGTTGTATTTTAGCTACGTTTTGATAATTTCTTCCATTCAACTTCAGTTCTTCTGAAGTTACGGAGGTCATCTGGTGATGTGGCTGCCACTCACCTATTATGTCTGAGACTGTCAATCTATGTAAGTGAGAGCTGGCATGCAGTCTTTTTATTCCAGTGAAATAACATGACTTTTATAGCACTGGTGATCATTTCAGGTAAAGATGTGATGTAAGAGGCATTTCTTAGTGGTCTGTTGTGACTCTAGGGCTCCACTGGCTCCTGGGTTGTTTTTCATGCATTTGAGACCCTCTCCTCACTTGGAATTTTTTTTGTCCATGAAGGTCCTTTAAAGGTTCTGTGCTTCTCTTATCCGGTGCTCCTTTCTACCCTATAATTCTGTCTGGTTTGTGTTTGAGTAAAACTAACAGTACTCTTCTAATCTCTACACTCTCCCTTTGAAGAAGGGGTTAAAGACTTAGGACAGGTTTAAGAAGGCTTCTGTCAGATACCACCAGGTCTGCTAATATGAGTTGCACTTCTTGGTTACAGACTGAGATATCTTGCTGATTGAAATGAAGATGGCCAGTCCAGTCAGTGATGGTGAGAACTGTTTGTATGTTTTTGCCCCTGTCTTCATTGTGAGCTGCCAAGTGTTTTAAGTGGATGGGTCATTGCTTTATGGCCTCAAGTAGCTGTAACTTATCCCATGCGCATGGATCCTAGCAGCCAAGTTTTTTAATGGAAAAGAAAGTTCAAGTGTAATAGACTGCATTAGGATTGCTTGTTTCAGCATTTCAGCTTCTCTGGAATTTCTCTGGCTACTCCCTATTTATGACTCCATGAACGATGTAAATAAACTTTGCCAGCAAAATGGTGACCTTTGTTCCTCTCCACAAACACTTTTCTTTTAAAAATTCTCTTTGAAATCACTCAAGGAAAGATTCCTGATGTAGGTATGTTTAAGCATGCTGATTTCAATGCAGACCTGTCTTTAATTCTGCTACACAAAAGTATCACATACAAGGGTGTGATCTATAGCAGTTCAACTGACAAGCAGTAAAACTATTGTTCTCTCCTTTTGGTTCATTTAGCATTCATTGCTATGATAACCCTGCTCAGATACTGTGGATCAGCTTAGCTGTCAGCTGACTGGGTGTGCTCTTTTGGCCTTTGGTAGATACAGAATGCATTGTGTTTTCTTCACCACGGTGAGCATCTCACCCTAAAGATGACTTAAGTGAGAAGGCTGGGAGCAGACACAAATTGGTTCTGCTTGTTAGCTATGCTATTCACTTGTTAAACTGCATTTGTTACCAAGTCTAACTTGTGCTGAAGCCTGACTTTTTTAAAGATGATTATCATCTGGATGTGGTTTTTGCTGACCTTTGCTTTATGCCGCTGAATTTTCAGGTGCGCATATATATATACACACACATATTTTTTTAATATACATATGTAGTGAGCTTTCTCATATGAAAAGTACTAATTGAGAAGGAGCTTTCTCTGGTTTGTTGCTGTTCTTTGGCTTAAACCCACGAGTTTAATGACTTCCTGAAAAACACAACAGACTGTGCTCCTTCATTTATAAGCTTGTTTTGTTTTAAAGTGTCTCATCTGGAATTGAAATTTGATCTGAAAAGTGCTTGTGTTGCAGAACTAACGTATGAGGTTCCTGAAAATTGATCTCTCTCTTAACTCCTGGGTTAAATCCTCCTGGTTCCAGGGGTGGTGAGCATTCAGTGGTTGGTGTGCTGAACAATGGTGTTAGCCATTTCTTCAGAACACGAGGGTGAAATAACAATTTTCGAAGTTTCTGCACTCTCAGAGTAAAAGCTTGTGGGTTGCTAAAATGGGTTGGCAAACATTATCTTTGGAGAAGCAAAGATGATTTCAGGAGGAATTTTGTGCGTGTGTTGAAAATATTCAATGAGTGTGGAGAATTACGTATTTTTTGTAATCTTTCTTATGCAGCACATGCTACTCATGACCAGCTGGAAAGTAGAGCACACAGCATAGAAGAAATCTGTCCAGAACTGTAACTGCTTGTCAAAGACACAAATACAAACATCGCTTCATGATTTTTGCAACTAAGGCTCTTAAATATTGAGAAGTATATCAGTTACAATGTTGTATTGCCAAGAATGTTAATTTTAGACTTGTCCATTAGGCAGAAAAACCTGTCTAATTGATTTATTCTTGTGCCTAGTATTTCATGGAGAATACTGCTTCATAATCTGTTCAACCAGAATGGCATTCCCTGTATGTATAATGCTGATTATCTTGCATAATGTACTGTTAACTCTTCATGCTTCAAAACCAACGGTATCTTTTGGTTTTTCACTATTTATTTGACAGTGTTCTAGGTGTGGTATCTCTTATGGAAGGGTTTGGGATTCAAGAGCCAAACGGTACAGCATATATCAGATTGACATGCAAGCTATTTATCAGATGTGTTAAGCAGTTTAAAAAGGGATTATTTAAGTCTTACAACTTTTTTGTAAAATGTTGACCTGTTAATCTAGATTTCAGTATGTTGTTACCTGTACTTTCCCAGTCTTTACAAGAAGAGCTGTATTATTTTTAAGAGTGGTGTTTGGAATCAGTTGCTAGTTTCTGACTAAGGCAGTACTAACGTGTGGTGGAGGGAATGTTTTTACACTGGAAGTGTGCTAACTTGAACTTGCATTTAAGTGTCATTATCTCTTCCGTTGGGACTGGATGTTTTGTGGAGTGCTCTTTGGCTTATCATGAGAACATGGAAGTTCCCTCCAACTTTTCTCTTAAAACCACATCCACTGTCAGTCTTCTGGCTCTTGTTTCAAACTTTTGGTCCTTGCCAGTTGCATGAAGAATGCTTGTGCTACTAGCACCTGAGGAAAAACACCCAAACATGAGCAAATCCACATCAGGACTGTGAAGATGAGCTGAGTTATAAAGATAACTGCTGATGATCTCCTACTCATTTGGGGTTGGTAACCTGCATACTGAAAACCACTGGTCTAAATCTTCCTGTATCCATTGCAACTTAGAGCAGCTGCTTTTGTAAAATGAAGGCTGTTTGGAAGAATAGAAGGGAAACTGCCTAATTCAAATACTTGTTTACAGTGTGGTTGTATAGCCCCTGTAAAGAGGGATTCTGAACCTCCAAATTGCTGTAAACAACTTCCTACTTGGTGGAATTTGAATGGTGAATGTTCCAGTATTCAGAGTAGTTCCTGGGTTTTATTACACAAATTAAGTATACACTTAAGCTTTAGCTTGGTTATGGAATACAGTGTATATCTTAACTTTGATCTGAATTTGATATGTTGCAAAAATCCATATAATTATATGGATCTATTTTAAAATGTCTTTTTGTCCACTGTATATGTGAAGTTTGAATAAAGGAATGAAAGTTATTTTACAGTTATATGTATTCTCAAGCGTGAGCTTTCATGAAATCCCAGCGAGATTGAGAGTGAATAAGGCAATAGGATGCTGTCCTTTGAAAGATTTATACAGGAATAATTCATTAGAATGGATGCATTGCCAAAGATACCTGTGAGTTGTGCTAATTGGGTGTTGTAGTGTGCCTTTCCCAACTATCTCCTCTCCTTAGTAGGTAACAGAGTTGTCAGTTGTGGGGTATTTAGTTTTCTAAGGGCCTGAATCAGGATGAATAGCATCTTTTCGCAAGAAAGAGCTGAACTCTTGATTCAGCCCAGTGTGGTGATGCTAATTTTTCAGTATCTAGAATGCTATTTCTCCTTGTATCAAACTTTGTCCCTTCTGTAGAATAAACAGGGGCACAGAGTAAGCACTTAGATACTTCTGACTCCTGAAGTCACTTACGGTAGCTTTAAATTTGGCTCCCAAGAACAGAATTTCAAAACTTAAAGTCTGCACCCTTTATATACCAGCTTGCAATGTTCAGACTGTTGGAATGTCTGCACCGACCTGTATTTCAAACTGACCAGCTGATGTCCTGGTCTGCCCCAGCCAGGGCAGTTAAGTCCTGCCAAGAGAGTGGCAGCACTCGGCAAAGCTGCGTTAACTTTCAGACTGGAGCGTGAATGGGTCAAGATTTGACCAATGTGCATGGGTAACGCAGATGTCTTCTGTGATGCTCTAAAACAGGTAACTTGTACTTTGTGGTAAGTACAAGTGGGTACTTTGTACCTGTAATTACAGAATCATAGAATCGTTTAGGTTGGAAAAGATCCTTAAGATCGAGTCCAACCATTAACCTAGCACTGTCAAGTCCACCACTAAACCATGTCCCTAAGCACCGCATGTAGATGTCTTTGAAATATCTACAGGGATGGTGACTCCATCAGAAACAGCTCTTATATGAGCAAATGTCCTGCTCTCCTTCATCCCCCACTTTCTGTGTCCAAGATTACATTTTCATTTTGGGACTCAGCGGGGGTACTTTCTACCCTACAATGCCTACAGAGCACTTTGTTAAACAAAAAAACCTTTGCTAACTTCCAGTGAAGACCTTTCCTGTAATGGCCTCCAAACTCCTGGATGAAATGGGGACATAGCTTTGAGGGAGGTACAGTATATGTAAACGAATGAAGATGGTTTTAAATGAACCTCAGAATGTGTAGTAGGTCCCTTCATCAGTCAGATGATTCCAAGCTGTCTGGGTGATTTTTCTTCCGTGCCACCAAGCCCCCAAGTTTTAGTTAGATGCCGCTTTGGAACTTGTACTGGTTTTAGTTACGGGTTTTATTAAAGGCTTTGTTCTCTTCATTCTCTTTAGCGCTAGCCAAAATTCTGTTCGTGCTTCTTCATCTTGCTCACCTGGAGTGCAACCTGATGTACCTGACGCTGCTTTTAACTGAAAGGCTTGTTTACTTGATTTTATCCAGGTTTACACCTTCACGTATTCTAAAAGCTAGAATAGGCAAGTTTACTTTGCAGTAACTACAGATACTCTATATAGGTTTGTTTTGGTTTTGGGGTTTTTTTTGTTTTTTTTTAACAAAGGGATGTCTGATTTCCTTCTGTTCTGGAAATAGCAATTATAGTTCCCTACTGAAGGGGGACACGAGAAGAAATGCCTTTTCTCTTTTTATATTTGATGGGGACTTAGCTTGCATGCATGTCTTTAATCTTGGGGTGCATATGGTAAAGGCTCATTCGTACAGTGAAGAGTGGTGTAAAGAGGAAACAGAAGACGCACAGCCCTTATTAACGTGGACATTGAACTCCACAGCATCATAATTGTGAAGCTTCTTGCACAGGTTTAAGTCCTCAAGCTGCATCCTGTTTAGAGAAAATATTTTCAATATGCTTCCAATAGGAAGATCACTTGCAAGTAAGAGCCTTAACTCTGTCCTTAAAGTTTCTTTCACACTGAGTTGTACACAGTTCATGGAAACTGCAAATATTTTTTTCCACAGCTTGCTCTCTCATGTTAGACTTGTATATCTTACCAGAACTCTTTGTTTCTGTAACATGCTTTTTGTGGTGTTTATGATGATACCACCGCACAAATGTAATTATTCTGTTTGAAATCAGTGTTAAGTGTCACAATGTAAATAAAACCATTGTTTTCATTACTGCCTTATGGCACTAATACTAGATGTATTGGTTTGACTTCTTGGAGGTTTTTAGGAGAAACTGGCAGCTACTGTAAAGTTTGCAGGTGTGTTCATAGATGAATACTTAAACCAATATTGCAATTTCCTCATCACTGCAAATGAGGAAGTACTCTTTAGTGTAACTGATATACACCAGTTTGCGCACACTTTCACACTTTGCGGTTTTGCTTGGCTACCCAGATATGAGGGGAGATCTGAGAACCTGAGTCATGAATTTAAGACAGCAGCACCATAGAAAAGGTTGCATTTTTCAAGGTAATATTCTGTGTGTGTTGTAGGATTAAAACAAGACCGGTCTGTCTCTTAGTGGAAATGGAAAATGACTAACACCAACTACTCCTTAGGAAGTAAAACTGTATTCAAAAAAAAAGAGCTCACCTCTCTTAAATTGCACACTTTAGTTGAAAAGTGGATTTCACAGCATAAATGCAGCCTGAGTGATACAAAAAATTGTTAACTTGCTGCTGAGGGGAGACCTTATCGCTCTCTACAACTACCTGAA